TCACATTTGTAGCTCCCAGACCAGTCTCGAACTTGCAGTGATCCTCCTGTCTCAACTTCCGAAGTGCTGAGATTACAGGCATGTGCCACAATGTCAGGTTCTGGGGCCGCAAGGTGGGTGCCTGGGGATCAGGGGCCAAGATGGCACGCACTTCATGCGGGGTCAGGACTCCAACTTGGGTCTTTGTGCTTGCCAGATAGGTGCTTATGCCTCTGCACTATCTCCTTAGACCCTGCATTTACTTTCCACTAAGTGCCAGGCACTAGCCCATCCCCTGCCTTTCACACCTGGGATCTCAGAAGCTCCCCACATGTTTTCTTTTTCTTTTTTCTTGCTCTTGCTATGTAGTGCAGGCTGGCCCTTAGCTCACTAGGTGTGTGGCTCAGACTGGCCTTGAACTTTCTGGAAGTCCTGCCTCAGCACCCCCCCACCTGCCTCCCATCTGCTGGGATCACAGGTGTGTCACCACACCCAGCTTTAAGTTGATAGTTCTTCTCAGTACTTGAAGGATTTTGTTCGGCCTCTGGCATTTGGCACAAGCCTATAGTCCCAGCACTCTGGTCAGCTGATATAGCAGGGTCCCAAGTCTGCGGGCAGCCTGGGAGACAGATTCTGTCTCAAAATAAAGTCCAAAGGGCTGGCTGTGTAGCTCAGTGCTAGACCACCGCACATATGAGGCCCTGGTTCCACCCCTGCACAAGAAATAAAGTCAATTTTTGGTCAAGGTGGAGGTAGTTGGAGTAACCCTCCCTTGCTTGAAGTCATATAGCAAACCAACACTTTTTTTTAAGAAAAGAAAAAAATAAACAATGGTATAAAATTTCAAAACTAGATTGTAGGAGAGTTACAGTCTCCATTCACTGTGTATTGTTACCTTCAAACAGTTGCTCATATCACAAGATATAGGCATAAAAAGTAGATCAAACAATAATGGCATAAACCTTCCTTATCAATGAACTAATAGTAATTAGTAGTATGACTGTGTTAACTAATATATTTTCTTTTCCCTTCCTTCATTTTTCCTTTCCCCCATTCCAGTTTCTCTTTTTTCTCTTTTTGAGACAGGGTCTATGCAGTTCAGGCTGGTCTTGAGCTCACTTTGTAGCCCAAGCTGGTCTCAAACTTGCAAAGATCCTCCTGCCTCAGCCTCCAAGTGCTGGGATTTCAGGCATGTACCACCATACCAGGATTTTTTATTTTTATTTTATTTTTTTTGTACTGGAGATTGAATTTAGAGCCTTGCACTTGCCAAGCAGGCACTTCTACCACTCAGCTATCTCCCTAGACAGTTTCCCTTTCCTTTTGAACAGTTTCTGCACATTTCACAGTATTTATTGTATATTTTGTATCTTATTTATACCTTTAGCTTCTTGCACTAGAGGGATTATATGCTGTTCACATATCTGAGTCTGACTTATTTCACTTATGAGTATTGTCTTACGTTGTACCCATTTCCTATAAAAGGCTCAAATTTACCCTTTTTTTTTTTTTTTTCAGTACCAGGGCTTGAACTCAGGACCTTATACTTGCCAGGAAGGTGATTTTGCTACTGAGCTATCTCCCCAGCCTTATCCTTCTCTATAGCTTAGTAGTACTCCATTGTATAAAAATATCACATTGTTTTTTATCCAAAAGAAATTAAGAAACCAATTCCATTTACAATGGTGGCAAAGATAATAAAACATAAAGGAATAATTTTAATGAACAAAATGAAGAATTGGTACACTGAAAATTATGAAATGTTGCTGAAAGAAATGAAAGAGAGCACAGATAAGGGTACCCAGTGTATGTAGATGGGAAGATTCAGTGTTATTAAAATATCAATAAGATCCAAATGATGTACAGCTTTAATATAATACCTGAATGGGCACAGTGCTACTTACCTACAATCTCAGTTGATGGGCATTTGAGTTGTTTCCAAAAGTTTGCTATGACAAATTGTGCTGCTGTAAACATGATTGCACATCTATTGCTGTGATATGATTTTTAATTCTTCTGCGAAAATACTCAGAAAGGGAATAGCCAGGTTGAATGGAATCTAGTTTTTCTGTAGCATCTTCACACTGATTTCCATAGTGGTAGACTAGTCTGCATTCTTACCAGTAGCGGAGAAAGTTTCCTTTTTCTCCACAGCCCCAGCAACGTTTGTTAATTGATTGATTTCTTGACGATAGTCATTCTTGCTGGAGTGAGATGGAATTGCAGTGTTTTAATTTGCACCTCTTGAATGACCAGTGGTGTTAAACATTTATTCATGTATTTATTTACTATTTGTATTTTCTTTATCAGGGAAGTGTGTATTCACCTCAGATGCCCATTTTGGCATTGGGTCTTTGAATTTCAGGGTCTCATTTTTTTCCAATTCTTTGTATGTTCTAGAGATAAGTCCTTTGTCTGAGGGACAGTTAACTAAATTTTTTCCCACAATGTGAGTTGTCTTTTACTCTGTTGGTGATTTATTTTGACGTGCAAAAAGTTTCTAATAAGAAGAGGTCCCAGTTGTTAGTTCTTTTGTTTCCTGTGCAGTTTGAGTTTCATTCACGAAGTCTCTGCCTACTGCTATTGTCTTCAAGATTTCTACCTTCTTTCTCTTCCTACAGATTAAGTCTCACGTTCTTAAAAACACTTTTCCTAAGGAATGAATGACCTTCTTAGCACTTGCTTTCTCATTTAGGCCCTTCATCGCAGCCTTCAGAAGCCTCGAACAGAAGAGCCTCCGGAAATCCTAAGCAAGATTCTTTCTTCAATCAGAATCGTGATAGCAGGAACTGGATACCACAGGATCCCAGAGGTCTCAGTGAGTAGTCTCGTCCTTTCTCTTTCTTTGCTTTCCTTCTCTGCCCAAGCGGCTTTGGGTTTGCATTTTGTTGGTTGTATAATATTTTCAAAAATCTATTCAAAACCTTCCCATCATTAAAGCAAAGCTTTAGACTTCAAATCAGTATGGCCTTTGCCCCATGACTAGTTCAAATTACAGTGGATAAGGCTGAGAACAAATGATACAGAACAAGTGAGAATATTTTCCTAGAGAAGAGGTCTGAAGTGGACAGATATAGAGAAGCTCTCTCTCCTAGGCAAGAATATTGTAGAACAGTATTGTATGAAAATGACCAAAAAAATGCCATTAGGGAAGTAGGGTATAAATGTGTATAGGATTTATTTACATAAATTAGATCACACTGCTTTATTCTGAAATGTATATTAATAACATACCCTATTGATTTACTTGTGTGCAAAACACGTACTGTTTATCTTTTCAGAAATATGTGACCATAGAGAAGTTGTTTCTGTATACTAACCATTAAAGGTGTATAAAAGAAATTAAGAAATCAATTCCATTCACTGTGGTAGCAAAGACAACAAAACACGAAGGAATACTTTTAATGAACAAAATGAAGAATTGGCACACTGAAAATTATGAAATGTTGTTAAAAGAAATGAAAGAGGACACAGATAAGGATACCCAGTGTAGAACTGCAGGAGACAGGGCAGTGGAGGCGGAGCGATGTTGCACGTGGGTCAGCCCCTTCCAGAAGGCTGCTGCCCGGAAGAAAAGATGTTTGGTTTTCACAAGCCAAAGATGTACCAAAGTATAGAGGGCTGCCATATTTGCAGAGCGAAGTCCTCCACTTCTCGATTCACCGCAGTAAGCGCTGTGAGGACTTCCGGAGCTGTTTCGGGTTGCATGAGGCTCGCCCACAAGATGTCTGCAGTACCTGTGTTTTGCTTGTGGAAAGATGGAAAAACCTGCCATCAGGATCAAAGAAAAGCCGGGAATCATGTGGTAGATGCGAGGGCAGGACCGAGTCTAAAGACTACACTGAAACCAAAGGAAGTGAAAACCCTGTCTGGAAACTGGATAAAAAAGCAGCCAGATTAGCAAACTGCAAAAGGAATTTAAGCACCACAGTTCCACGCAAAAGGGCTAGCCAAATAGTTCAGTGGATTAAAGCGCCTGCAGGCAGGCGCAAGGGCCCGGGCCTGCCGTGTTAGCTCCGCCATGTGGGCAAGCTGAGATAGCAACTGAGACTGGGCATGATGTGGGTCAGTTATCCCAGTGCCTGGGAGGGGCTGTAAAGAGGAGAATCACTGCTATCTGATCTAGTAGCGAGACCCTGAACACCCTGTAGACCCTTCCCTAAAATATAAAATAAATAAATAATTCCACGCACGCTTCAGAGAAGCAGAGGAGCCAGACCCCGATGCCCATCTCCACCCAGGAGCGGTGACCGAGGTTCGCGTGCAGGGGGACAAGGTGCAGAAGACCATAGACCAGAGAACTGATGCCTGTTTGCAACTCAGATACCTTCTATTCTGCCAAAAGACATTTTCTAGAATAGTTCTGAATGGGTGATTACCCTCTCCTTCCACCAAACTCTGAAGCCAGTGTCTAGCTTACTAAAAGTTTACATAATATTTAAGATGCTGAGTATTTCATAGGAAAGCTGAATGCTGCTGTAAATTGCTCTTTAAGTCTTTTTTTAAAATTCCTCTTCTAATTAATGAAATAGGAGAATTTCAGGAGACAGAGATGAGATTTGTGTATGATAAATATATGTAGCTTTAGTCTTTCTGTAAACCATGGTTGGGGCATTTTTAAGATGGCTGGCTACTCTTGTGTTCCCTCATGGTAAACTTATCATCCCTAAGTAACAGCTAGTTGCTAATAATTTTGAAAACAAAAACAACTCAGGACCTTGTGCTTGCCAGGCAAGCACTTATTCTACTGAGCCTTCTCCCCGGCCCTCAATGATCTTGAAGGGGGGCTTCATTATTCACTCTGGACCAGGCATTTATGTGTAATTGCCACTGATGAAGAAGGTGAAGTCCTGCTATTCCTCAGTCATAGCTGCTCAAATGATTTGGGAGGTAGTGAAGCGAGCTGGAGGCGCTGTCACAACAGCAGCAGCCATAAAGAACGAGATGCCCAAGGCTCTATTGTCGTAACCTTTCAGAGATAAGACAGAAGCCCTAATTCTCCAGCTCTTCAGATTGCACCATGTACAAACTGCATAATGATTATGGATACAGCTGGAAATGGTCCATGCTGTTTCGTGGAGTTTTGTGTACATCACCATGCAGCTGCAACACTAGCTGCTATGAATGGGCAGAAGAAAAACGGGTAAAGAAGTCAAAGTGAGTTGGGCAACAACCCCCAGCAGTCAAAAGAAAGATATAAGCAGTAGTACCGTTGTCAGCACACAGCATTCACAAGATCATTTCCATGTCTTTGTTGGTGATCTCAGTCCAGAAATTACAACTGAAGATATAAAAGCAGCTTTTGCTCCATTTGGAAGACTATCAGATGCTCGAGTGGTAAAATATATGGCAACTGGAAAGTCTAAGGAACATGGCTTTGTCTCCTTTTACAACAAATGGGATGCTGAAAACACCATTCAACAGACAGTGGCCAGTGGCTTAGTAGAAGACAAATCAGAACTAACTGAGCAACCCAAAGACCTCCAGCTCCAAGGAGTGCATATGAGTCAAACACTAAACAGTTGTCATATGAAGTTGTGAGTCAGTCTATTCCAAGCAACTGTACCGTGTACTCTGGTGGTGTTACTTTCAGGCTAACAGAACAGCTAATGTGTCAGACTTTTCACCGTTTGGACAAATAATAGAAATTCAAGTCTTTCTAGATAAAGGATATTCATTTGTTCGGTTCAATTCCCATGAAAGTACAGCACATGCAGTTGTTTCTGTTAATGGTACTACAATGAAGATCATGTTGTGAAGTGCTATTGAGGCAAAGAAACTCTTGATATGAAAAATCCTGTGCAACAATAGAATCAAACTGGATATCCACAACCTTATGGCCAGTGGGGCCAGTGGCATGGAAATGCACAACAGATTGACCAGTATATGCCTAATGGTTGGCATGTACCTGCATATGCAATGTATGGGCAAGCATGGAACCAGAAGAGATTTAATTAGATACAGTCTTCTGCACCTTGGATGGGACCAAATTATAGAGTACAGCCACCTCAGGGCCAGAATGGCAGCATGCTGCTTAATGAGCCTGTGGGGTACTGAGTGGCAGAGTATGAAACCCAGTAAGCAAGGACTACAGACTCTAAAGCCAGTGGCTTGAGGCTACAAGGGGTGTAGTGAAGCCGTTGTTTACTTAAAGATTTATCAAGTCAGTCAGTGCAAATATCAGATAAAATGTATTTATTTAAAAGATTCATTTTTTAAAATCATGACATTACTTATCATCCGCATTGTTTTAAAAAGAAAATGCTGGACGTCTGCCAATTTTGGCCTTCATTACCTGTTTTGATAAAAGTTTCTCAGATCCTTGTTTCAAATACAAATGCAGGGATTGCTGCCACTTTTTTTAAAGTAAGAGGCAGAAAATTGCACAATGTTGAACTTTTTTCCACTAAAGTAGCATGCAGTTCTAGTTTGAATTCCTGATATGATTTAAAACAGGTAACATAAAGATGTAAAAAAATAAATAAATAAAAGACAAACCAAAACTGTGCAAAGTCTAGAAGTGCTTTGTAATCTCCAGTTTCTGCACAATTCTGTTTTAGGTTTTAAAAAACGCATTGTTTCAACCATCTCATCTCCATATCTCCATTGTTATCAGTTTAGGGCTTTTAAGTACAAATTATTAGTTTACATCATTTTTGTATTTACATTTTTCAGACATTTGTCTTGTTTTATTGAAGTTCTGTAAAATACCCTTACATGGAAAAAATGATGTTTACTTAGATTGAAAACTTTTCTCAGATGGATTGATTATTGCATTCATTTTGTGTTTTATATGAGAAGGGACTTCAAGAGTTCTGTGTTGGATTTGTTTAAAAGTATTTATCTTCTGTGATAAATTTT